TGTCTCTCCAAGGGATCCCTCACACTGTGGCCTCCCAGTTACTCGACCTCTCATCTCACTAACTATAAAAGTCAGGGTTTAGGTATTGATTATGGACCCATGTATGACTGCTTTGAGCTGAAAGGGATTTGATACATGGAGTTAGTGCCTGCAGAGTCATCGGAAGTACTGAAAGAAGCATCCAGCCTGAGCTCCTAGAGATACACTCTTCCTCAGCAGTGCCACAGAACTAGCCCCCAGGGATTTACTTGTTCCCACATTCAGCAAACTGAGATGTCCGAAAGCTGATATCCTACCTGCTGACTCCAACACACCACACTTCTGAGCCTGTATTTCCCAGCCCCTTTTGCATCTAGGTAGGGCATGGCAGTGTCAGACTTTATCTTTTGGGGCTCCAAAATCACTGCAGATGGTGATTGCAGCCATTAAATTAAAAGACGCTTACTCCTTGGAAGGAAAGTTATGACCAACCTAGATAGCATATTAAAAAGCAGAGACATTACTTTGCCAACAAAGGTCCACCTAGTCGAGGCTATGGTTTTTCCAGTGGTCATGTATGGATGTGAGAGTTGGACTATGAAGAAAGCTGAGCGCCAAAGAATTGAGGCTTTTGAACTGTGGTGTTGGAGAAGACTCTTGAGAGTCCCTTTGGACTGCAAGGAGATCCAACCAGTCCATCATAAAGGAGATCAGTCCTGGGTGTTCATTAGAGGGACTGATGCTGAAGCTGAAACTCCAATACTTTGGCCACCTCATGTGAAGAGTTGACTCATTGGAAAAGACCCTGATGCTGGGAGGGATTGGGGGCAGGAGGAGAAGGGGACGACAGGGGATGAGATGGCTGGATGGCATCACCGACTCGATGGACATGAGTTTGAGTAAACTCTGGGAGTTGGTGATGGAGAGGGAGGCCTGACGTGCTGTGATTCATGGGGTTGCAAAGAGCCAGATACGACTAAGCGACTGAACTGAACTGAACTGAGGGCCAAGTCAAGAGTTCTGGAATCGCGGCCACTCCTAGGCCTAATCAGTAAATACCTCCTTCTTATCCTGCCTGCTCTCTATTCAGCCTTCTGCATCCAGGATGACCTTAAATCCATAAGTCAAAAATGGCAGTACTTCCTTAGCTACCAGGGAAGCCCCTACTTCCTCTTCTATGGTTCCCTACATGCCTACATGGAGCAGAGGTTCACCCACCCCTATTTCTGCTTATGTTGCAAACTGGATTTTCTGTGAGCAAGGAATAAATATCTGTTGTGTTAAGTCACTGAGATTTGGGGGTTTATCTGTTAAGGTAGCTAGTGTTTCCTCAACTGTTCTAGGAGGGGAACCCTAGGAGCCTCGCTTTGGGCTTACTACCTTGAGTCCTTGTCTAGGTCAGCAGGTAGTGTTGCATTGGCCTGCTGCTCAATACATCTATTAGAATGATATGCTTAAGAACCAGGCAAATTAATACAAAATAAATTCACATAATCACTGTATCCACAGTGAGATGGACTGTAGCCCCATACGCTTGTCTTGTGTGACCTCCAAAGCCCTCTCTGATCAGTGGACTATGGGGGCATCAGAATGTCTGGGAAGTGGTATTCACTCAGAGTTAGTGGCCAACATCCCCTGAGAACCTGACTGTCCCTTCCCCTAGAGCATGGCCATCCTGGCTGAAGGCCATACCTCCCTCAAGGGAGGCCAGGAAGAAAACTTAGTACAGCCTTGGGTGTTTCCGCCAGGTCTTTCCCTCTGGCAGCTCCAGGTCCGTGAGTGACTCATGTCCAGGAATTGGAAGAGGAGCTGCACTGTGAGTCAGGTCTGGGCCACGATCCCAAAACCTAGGGTCTTTCCACCACCACCCCCACTGCCACTAGTGCTACCCTCTGTTGTCCTGGAGGGTGACTCTACGGCCAGGGATCCAAAAACCTCTGAGGCCATGCCATTCCGCCTGGCCCTGTGGCCTCTGATGCCTGCAGTAGCCAGCTCCCCAGAGTCTTAAGTGTGTCGCTACTCCCCTCTCTACTCCAGAGTACAGCTCGCTGTCTCAAAGAGGGCATCCTCCAGACCCTCACCAAGGACAGTTGGAGGGCAACTGACCAGGTCAAGCGCAATACACTTCTCTCTCTCTCTGTCTTTGGGTGCCTTTTTCTCTATTAAACCAAAGAGGTTTCCAGCAGCTTGGCTTCATTCACATGGGCTGTTGTGAACACTGGTTTTAAAAGCCAGAGCACAGTCAGCACCATCCAAGCCCCTAGATCTGAATCCAGAACCTGTGCTCCCTGTTAGATCTGACTGATTTAGGCTCTTTTGCCTCCGATATCCTGGGGTTAGGAATGATGGTTGTTGAGGCCAAAGAAGAGGGAGCAGACCGAAGGGGGGAAATGGAGGCCTGCACACAGGGCCCTTAGTGTCCTGGATCCCTGACATCAGCTGTTCCCAGGAACCACCACAGAATACCTTCAAATGGGCCACGTGCTGCAGTTCACCCACCCACCAGCCCCAAGCAGGCCCAGGAAATGGAGGCCCCTCCCTTGCTGAGGTGTAGAAAGACCAGACCGGTACCGCTCACAAGGCCCCTCTCCTAACTGTGGGTGTTAGTTCCAAATTAACAGTATCCAGAGCCACTTCCCGCACCCTGGCAGGCTGCCTCCCACCAGGGCTCTGTCCCAAGTTGACCCTCCTGCCGGCTCCCACAGCAATGCCAAGAAAGGCTCACAATCGCGGAAAGACTCTGATGCCCACAGAGCTCAGCTTTGAACAAGCATAGATGGAGGCACACTCACCCTCTCCCTACCCAGAGGTCAGGGCTGCCTGCCGTGGGCACACACCTGAGCAACCTCCAGAGTCTGAAGGGGAAAGTTTCAGCTATTTGCATAACATTACAGCCTCAGGCCGGCTCTCCTGGAGAATAAGGGTAGTTCCCAGCTTGCCGCAGAAAGGGAAGAAAGGGCCTTTGGCTGATTCCTTTTAAACTCCAATTCACAGCGCCAACCAGCTGTGATAGTTCCAATTACAGGTTCAAAGATTTCTGGGCCATGGAAAAACTTTCTGTCCTGGCCACCCACCCCATACTGCTCCCACGCACAGGCACAGAAACGGTACTGGAGTGTGACACCACGGGGATGGTTCACAGGAGCCCCTTCCATTCCCAACGAGGCCAGCAGCAGCCTGGAGCTCAGCCCCGTCTCAGGGAGTCCCTGCCCTTCAAATCTTGCTCCTTCCTACTGCCTCTAGTCGTAGCTTTCCTCTTTCACCAGGAAAATGCCAGCTCCACAGCTGGGCTTCAGTGGAAGCTGTGTCTTGGCCGCACCCCAGTGACCAGAGGCCTTTCAAGGACTCTGTCCACGCTCCCACTGGGTCCAGAGGCAGGAAATATGAGAAACCCTCCGCAACAGCAGCCCACATCCTGCTGGTCCTGAGGTCTGACCCTGTTGGGGAGCCTGAGGCCAGAGAGTTGCCCTGGGGAGGGTTCCAGGGAAGAGATGTCCTAGGGGAGCTGCTGCGGGGAGGCACTCTCAGGGAGGCACTGATCTTGGGGTGTTTAGTTGCACTGAGTAAGATACCCAGCTAACCGCCTCCTGGTGCGCTCTCTTACTTTGAAACAGGTAAACAATCTGGGGACCAAAACTGTGAAGTCATTCGTACAAGGCTGTCCAGTGATGGAGCCACCGCCGTCATCTCTTTGGATGAGTCCTTCCCATTGGTGTGACCCGGATGCAGAGAAGACACCACCCCCCAGATGCCCCACCACACCCCTCCACCACACACACACACCCCCCCCACACACACCACACCCCCCACACACACACCCCGCACACACACACCACACACACACCACACACACACATCCCCACCACAAACACCCCACACACACACCCCACACACCACACCCCCCCACACACACCACACCCCCCCCCACACACCCCGCACACACACACCACACACACATCCCCACCACAAACACACCCCACACACACCCCACACACACAGACACACGGCCCACCACACCCCCACCACACACACACACACACACACACACACACACACACACACACACACACGAATGGAGGGGGAAAGGTTGGAAAGAATTTTTGATCTGTCTTAAGAAAACACCAAACATAGCGTTGAAGGAAAAGCCAGCAGCCCGCGGACTCCACGGTTTCCGTTTCGATTTGTTCATTCGACACTCTCCAGGCACAGGGCCTTTAAGGAACACTAGCGCGCCGAGCCCCAACACTAGGATCCGTCCTGCGTGCACCTCACGCGCGCGCCCGCCTCCAGCGCCAAAGGCCTCGGGACGCAAACCTGGGCGCAGCCGCCGCCTGCCGCCCAGCCGAGACCCCGCTACGCTACAGGTCGGGACAGGCCCCGCCCCTCCCAGCGCCGTGCCCCGCCCCTTCCGCGCCCCCCCCCTCTACCCCGTGCTCCGCCCCTTCCGCTCGGCCCGCCCCTCCCAGCGCCGTGCCCCGCCCCGGGGCGGGCCGCGCGGGAGTCACGGGTCAGGGGGCTGGGCGGGGCCGGGCCGGGCCGAGGCGGAAGCGCCCGAGGAGGTCCCGGCTGCCTGGTGTTCTGCACTTGCCCCCTCCTCGGTCCTGAACTGCCTTTGTTCCGCTTCGTGGGCCCCCGCGGGTCAGTGTTCTGGGATTTCTGCCCCCTGACCACGAGCCTAGGCGGGACCTTTAGCAGAAGAGGGTCAGATCTCCGCCTGAGAGTCTGAAGGTGTCCTGGCCCTTGAGGGTCTCCAGGGAGTTAGATCCCAGGCTACAGGCTCCTGGGTTTTGTTGCGGTCGAGGGTCTCCGGGTGCCGAGTCAGCTGGAAAGGAGTTGTCTCCGTCGAGGGAGTATTTGGGTCTGGGAGGGTAGTGCCTGAGCCTGGGTTCTTGGGGGAGGTTAATGTCCGAGTCTGGGGGTGGGTAGTGCTCGAATCTGGGGTCTCGGGGTTAGAGCTTGCGGGAGCCAGTTTGCCTTCTCTCCCAAGGATCTCTGTTACAGGCCTGTCTGTGCGCTGAGCCATGGAGGCTCTATGGACCCTCACTCTGGCCTTGGCCGCAGGCCTGGCTGCTGCCAGCCCACCTAACATCCTGCTGATCTTTGCTGATGACCTAGGCTACGGGGACCTGGGCTCCTATGGGCACCCCAGTTCCACCACCCCCAATCTGGACCAGTTGGCCGCAGGGGGTCTTCGGTTCACCGACTTCTATGTGCCTGTGTCTCTGTGCACACCCTCGCGGTGAGGAAGGAAACCGGCAGCCCTCACCCCTGACCATTTAGTTCCTCCCAGATTCACTCTGGAGTGCAGAGGGAGGAGCAGGGTCTCTGTCTCTATGGAGAAATTCATATCTCTCTGTTTTTCTCCTCTCTCCCCTTCTTGTATGCATCTCGGTTTTGCTCTGTCGCACGGACTCTGACTTGCCCTGTAGGGCTGCCCTCCTGACGGGCCGACTCCCAGTTCGAATGGGCTTGTACCCTGGAGTTCTGGAGCCCAGCTCTCGAGGGGGCCTGCCCCTGGAGGAGGTGACCTTGGCTGAGGTCTTGGCTGCCCAAGGCTACCTCACAGGGATAGCTGGCAAGTGGCACCTTGGGGTGGGGCCTGAGGGGGCCTTTCTGCCCCCCCACCACGGCTTCCATCGATTCCTGGGCATCCCGTACTCCCATGACCAGGTAGGAACCACCAGGATCCTTCCCCTTGACCCCAGAGCCCCACCCCACAGTCTAGACCGCTAAAGGAGCTGCTCCCTCAGGGCCCTTGCCAGAACCTGACCTGTTTCCCGCCGGCCACCCCCTGCGATGGCACCTGTGACCAGGGCCTGGTCCCTGTCCCACTGTTGGCCAACCTGTCGGTGGAGGCACAGCCCCCTTGGCTGCCTGGACTCGAGGCCCGCTACGTGGCTTTTGCCCGTGACCTCATGACTGATGCCCAACGCCAAGGCCGCCCATTCTTCCTGTACTACGCCTCCCATGTGAGTGACTGTGGCCCCTCCACCCGGGCTCCCCATGACCCCTACCTGGTGCTAACTCCGGTCTCCATCCCCAGCACACCCACTACCCCCAGTTCAGTGGGCAGAGCTTTCCAGGGCACTCAGGCCGAGGGCCATTTGGGGACTCCCTGATGGAGCTGGATGCAGCTGTGGGAGCCCTGATGACAGCTGTGGGGGACCTGGGGCTGCTCGGAGAGACGCTCGTCTTCTTCACTGCGGACAACGGGTACTCGGCAGAGGCAGAGGGGTGCTGGTTGACCCCCCACAGGGCCCTGGGTCTTCCCATGTTGACGCTGGCCAAGAACCTAGTGGGCTAAGGGGGTGTCGGGAGTTGTTGGCCATATATGGTGACACCCAGGTGCATGTGGGAGGCTGGCGGCTGTGAGTACATGGAGGTGCTGGTCTTGGGAGGACAGGGAGTGGACAGGCATATGCTGGCCATTTCTGGGCAAAATGTGTGACTTGATCAGTCTGGGGCTGGGGTCCCCGAGGCAGGCTGGAAACCCTGGGCTTCTCATTGCCGACGTCCTCCCTGTGTGTCCCAGACCTGAGACGATGCGGATGTCCCGCGGTGGCTGCTCTGGCCTCCTGCGATGCGGAAAGGGAACCACTTTTGAAGGGGGCGTCCGAGAGCCTGCCTTGGCCTTCTGGCCAGGCCACATCGCTCCCGGTCAGTTTTCAGGCCTTCTGCTCCTGGGCTCTTGGTCTCGTCTCCCAGCCCTAATCACAGACGGAGTGACTGTGCAGCCCTCTACTCCCAGGTGTGACTCATGAGCTGGCCAGCTCCCTGGACCTGCTTCCCACCCTGGCCGCCCTGGCGGGGGCCCCGCTACCCAACATCACCTTGGACGGCGTTGACCTCAGCCCCCTGCTGTTGGGCACCGGCAAGGTAGGGCCCGTGAGCACATGGCCCCAGCTCCCTGACCCCCATCCTGACCTCCCTTCCCCCCACCCCCACCAGCCACTCACCCTCCCCAGGAGTGAGTGTGGGCAGCCCCTGAAGTCCCTAGGGCCAGGTGAGCCCTCTGTCAAACTGCATCCTAGTGATGCCGGCCGGGGGCTTCTGGGTGGGCAGGGAGCCACTGCGTGCCCAGGGCCCAGCACGGAGCAGACCCCCTGACTCTGCCCCCAGAGCCCCCGGCACACCCTCTTCTTCTACTCGGCCTACCCGGATGAGGTCCGAGGGGTCTATGCTGTGCGGAGCGGGAAGTACAAGGCACACTTCTTTACCCAGGGTAACCTCCTCTCCCCCAGCCCCCCCACCCTCCCAGCCCCGAGCCCAGCCCCCTGCCCGGTGCACAGGTGTGTGCCCCCCCCCAGGCTCTGTCCACAGCGACACCACTGCGGACCCTGCCTGCCACGCCTCTAGTCCTCTGACTGCCCATGAGCCCCCGCTGCTCTTTGACCTGTCTGAGGACCCTGGTGAGAACTACAACCTTCTGGGGGGTGTGGATGAGGTCGCTCCAGAGGCGCTGCAGGCACTGAAGCAACTTCAGCTGCTCAAGGCCCAATTTGATGCTGCCATGACCTTCGGGCCCAGCCAGATGGCCCGGGGCGAGGACCCCGCCCTGCAGGTCTGCTGTCAGCCCAGCTGCACCCCCCGGCCGTCCTGCTGCCACTGCCCTGAGTTCCAGCCCTGAGGGCGCAGACGGAGGCCAGCTGGGGCCCTGGTGGTTCCTGGCTGTGCTATGGGAGTGTGGAGGTGGTTTGTACCTGAAAACGCTAATAACACCAGCTGACACTTGTATGATAATTCATGTGATCCTTGTGAGAGCCCTGAGCTGGGTGTTTCTCTCCCTGTTACAAATGAGGAACCTGAGGCATGGGGAGACTTGCCTGAGGTCACCCAGCCTGAGAGAAAGCCACCTTCCTCCCCCTGGTGATTGCTTGTGTCAGTGTAGACAAGCGTGGTGGCGAGTGTGGGCACAGCGTTCACAGGAGCAGCACTAGGGGCTTCTGTGTGCCAGGAGAGGGTGGGGAGGGGGCGAGAGAGTGGCGGAGAGCAGACCCTGAGAACACAGCACCCATGAGAGCCAGGTTTTCCCTGGCAGAGAAGCACAGGAACCAGACCTGCCTGGCTCTTAGAAGGCTGTCTGAAGTTGGGTGAGGAGCTGCACATCCTACATGGTGGAGTGGTCAACCGGCGTGGGCTGGGGGTCCACACTCGGAAGGCACAGCAGCAGCTCCAGAGACTTGCTCTCGGCCCCCAGTGTCTCCTCCAAAGCTCCGTGTTTCCCACCTGCACACACATTTCCAATCTCCTGGCTTCACCTCTGCCCTCACAGGAGCCATTCTCCACCAAAGTAATCTCTTAACAGACGTGCCGGTTTGGCTCCATCTGCTCACAACTGCAGGCTTCCCATTGTGCCCAGAACCCAGACTCCTCAGGTGGCCTGCCATGCCTCATCCATGCTCTCATCCCTTAGCCCTGGCAGCTGGCCAAGATGCCCATCCTTGACACTGTCTGGCACCTTCTCTGAAGAAAGCACCCCCTGACTGCCCACTGCACGCATTTGCACCGTGGTGTGTAGTCCGCATGGGTCACCTGTGTGTGTACTGATGTCAGGCCCCCCCGCTCCCTCATGGTTGAGTGAGAAGAGGACCGTGCTCAGGACCCTGAAGTGGGTGTCCTGTCTTCATGGTAGACCAAATAGCCATCCCCTTTCTACTGATGGATTCCACCCTCTTGTTGGTGGGCTGAGACCCCTTGACCTCTCGGGTGCAGCCTCTCCTAGTCCCAGGAGAGTAGTAGCCAGTCTTAGCCACTCACAATCCAGTGATTGGCCCGAGAAGGGTGTGTAACCAAGGATCCTTGTTAGAGAAAGCTCAGGGTATCTGCTGGAGCCCAGGGTCTTGCTCAGCATCATCCTCAGAGATGGTGAGGACAGTGCTGTGTCATCGCTGGCCCTGACCAGACACTGTGCAGCCGCTAATCAGCGTCCCCAGCTGTGTACCTCTGGAGCTCATGGTATGAGAAGACAAACCAGCCTCCTAAACCACAGTTACTGGCTTGTCTGTTACTTGCAGCCAGAAGCAGTCTTTCTGGTTGGACATGTGAATGGGACGTGTGAACATGTATCTAGGTGCAGGGGCCCCTTCTGTGTTCTCCACGTGACCCATCACTTCTCGTCTCACTTGGGTACTGCACTAACCATGCCCAAATCCCACTGCATCCTGGAACTGCCCCTCTGAGGCTGGCATAGGGAGGACCCACATGCACAAGTGCTCTGGACGTGCCCAACCCCTGCAGCCTGCAACCTCTCCTCCAGGTGGCCTGCAGTCACCTCAGGGTGCCTTGGTTTCAGGATGAGGACAGAGAGGAATGGAAGCACGTGCACGATCTCTGTATCACATCCAAACTCCAGCAAGACTGAACGAATGCCAATACTCAGGCACAACCTGCAGGCACCTTGTTGCCCAGCTGGGTTTTGAGCATCACTTCGTTAGTTCCACAAACCTTTACTGGCATAGGGCTGGGGTATGGATCAATAGAAGGGACTCACCCCTGCTCCTGTGGGGTTTTTTTTTTTTAATTAAACATATATTTATTTGGCTGCACTGGATCGTAGTTGCAGCACCCAGGATTTTCATTTTGGTATGTGGGATCTTTATGTCATTTGAATTTTTAGTTGTACCATGCAGATGTAGTTCCTGCACCAGGGATTGAACCCAGGACCCCTGCATTGGGAGTGTGAAGTCTTAGCCACTGGATCACCAGGGAAGTCCCACTCCTGTGGTGCTTAATGTCTCGCAAAGGAGATCAGCATCAATCCTGAGCACCCAGATAGAGTGGAGTTCAGTGCAAAGAAACCTAGACTCCCCAGGTTTTGGTGTGTGGGAATTGACTGGGTACAACAGGAGGGAACCGTCAGATGCTGCTGAAGTTCCCCTCCTTGACTAAGGGCTAGAAACGTGGTGTGTACACATGCATAAAGCACTGAGGCTACACACTTGAGATTTGTGTCCTTATGACACCACCCTTATGGCAGAAAGCGAAAAGGAACTAAAGAGCCTCTTGATGAAAGTGAAAGAGGAGGCTGAAAAAGCTGGCTTAAAAACATTAAAAAAAAAACAAAAAACAAAGATCATAGCATCCAGTTCCATCACTTCATGTGCAAAGAGGTGGGGAAACTGTGGAAACAGTGACAGACCTTTTATTTTCTTGGGCTCCAAAATCACTTCAGATGGTGACTGCAGCCATGAAATTAAAAGACGCTTGGAAGAGCAGCTATGACCAACCTAGACAGCATATTAAGAAGCAGAGACATTACTGACAAAGGTCCATCTAGTCAAAGCTATAGTTTTTCCAGTAGTCATGTATGGATGTGAGAATTGGACCACAAAGAAAGCTGAATGTCAAAGAATTGATGCTTTTGAACTGTGGTGTTGGAGAAGACTCTTGAGAGTCCCTTGGACTGCAAGAACAAACCGGTCTATCCTAAAGGAAATCGATCCTGACTATTCATTGGAAGGACTGATGCTGAAGCTGAAGCTCCCATCCACCTGATGCAAAGAGCTGACTCATTTGAAAAGACCCTGATGCTGGGAAAGATTGAAGGCAGGAGGAGAAGGGGACGACAGAGGATGAGATGGTTGGATGGCATCACGGACTCAATGGACGTGAGTTTGAGCAGGCTCCTGGAGTTGGTGATGGACAGGGAAGCCTGTCGTGCAGCAGTCTGTGGGGTTGCAAAGAGTCGGACACAACTGAGCGACTGAACTGAACTGATAACTTTGCAGCTGAAGATGGAGAAACTATACAGTCAGCAAAAACAAGACCAGGAGCTAACTGTGGCTCAGATCATGAACTTCTTATTGCAAAATTCAGACTTAAATTGAAGAAAGTAGGGAAAACCACTAGACCATTCAGGTATGAAAGTGAAAATTGCTCAGTCTTCTCTGATTCTTTGCAATCCCATGGACTGTATAGTCCATGGAATTCTCCAGGACAGACTACTGGAGTGGGTAACTGTTCCCTTCTCCAGGGAATCTTCCCAGCCCAGGGATCAAACCCAGGTCTCCTGCACTGCAGGCAGATTCTTTACCAGCTGAGCCACCAGGGAAGCCCAAGAATATTGGAGTAGGCAGCCTGTCCCTTCTCCAGCAGATCTTCCCAACCCAGGAGTTGAACCGGGGTCTCCTGCATTGCAGGCGGATAATTCTTTACTAGTTGTGTAAATCAAATCCCTTATGATTATACAGTAGAAGTGACAAATACATCCAAGAGATTAGATCTGATACAGTACCTGAAGAACTATGGATAGAGGTTCATAATATTGTACAGGAGGTGTTGATCAAAACCATCCCCTAGAGGGGAAAAAATGCAAAAAGGCAAAATGGTTGTCTGAGGAGGCCTTACAAATAGGTGAGAAAAGAAGAGAAGTGAAAGGCAAAGGAGAAAAGGAAAGATACACCTATTTGAATGCAGAGTTCCAAAGAACAGCAAGGAGAGATAAGAAAGCCTTCCTAAGTGAACAATGGAAAAAAGACTAGAGACCTCTTCAAGAAAATTAGAGCTACCAGGGGAACATTTCATGCAAAGATGGGCACAATAATGAACAGAAACAGTATGGACCTAACAGAAGAAGACGATATTAAGAAGTAGCAAGAATACCCAAAAGAACTATACAAAAGAGATATTAATGACCCAGATAACCACGATGGTGTGATCAATCACCTAGAGCCAGACATCTTGGAGTGCAGTCAAGTGGGCCTTACGAAGCATCACTACAAAATAGTGGAGGTGATGGAATTCCCGTTGAGATATTTCAAATCCTAAAAGATGATGCTGTGAAAGTGCTGCATTCAATATGCCATTAAATTTGGAAAACTCAGCAGTGGCCACAGGACTAGAAAAGATGTGTTTTCATTCTAATTCCAATGAAGGACAATGCGAAAGAATGTTCAAACTACTGCACAATTGCATTCGTCTCACATGCTAGCAAAGTAATGCTCAAAATTTGCCAAGCTAGGCTTCAACAGTACCTGAACTGAGAACTTCCAGATGTTCAAGCAAGATTTAGAAAAAGCAGAGGAACCAGAGATCAAATTGCCAACATCCGTTGGATCATAAAAAAAAGCATAGAAAAAGCAAGAGAATTCCAGAAAAACATCTACTTCTGTTTCATTGAGTACACTAAAGCCTTTGACTGTGTGGATCACAACAAACTGTAAAATTCTTAAAGAGCTGGAAATACCAGACCACCTTACCTGCCTCCTGAGAAATCTGTATGCAGGTCAAGAAGCAACAGTTAGAACTGAACATGGAACAACAGACTGGTTCCAAATTGAGAAAGGAGTGCATCAAGGCTGTATATTATCACCCTGCTTATTTAACTTCTATGCAGAGTACATCCTGTGAAATGCCGGGCTGGATGAAGCATAAACTGGAGTCAAGAACTGGGGAGAAATATCAGTAACCTCAGATATGCAGATGACACCACCCTATGTCAGAAAGAGGAACTAAAGAGCCTCTTGATGAAAGTGAAAGAGGAGAGTGAAAAAGTTGGCTTAAGACAAGAAGATCATGGCCTCTGGTCCCATCACTTCATGGCAAATAGCTGGGGAAACAATGGAAACAGTCACAGACTTTATTTTGTTGGGCTCCAAAATCACTTCAGATGGTGACTGCAGCCATGAA